ATTAGTCTAGTAAGCAAGAAGATTTTATGAAATTAGTAATATGTACACGGTACAAAATGAGGTTACAATATGAAAGTTTCATTTATCTAAAATATTAAATTGTAAAATGTTAAGGAAAAAGAAAAAAAAGGAATTGAGCACAATTGTGTGATGTTGAATATAGAACACTAATAATCGGGGAGGGAGCCAATTGTTGAGATGGTACTAATATGTGTGTTGCCCTTACAGTGGGAAGAGTTAATAGATAGGTAGAATTAAAATTAAGGGTCATCCACATGAGTGTAACACTGTTTAATAGATGAGCTATATAGAATGAAGCTTTATGGGGAAGGGATAAGAAATGAAGAATGAATTATGATTTATTGATATATGTGTTCCACGCACAATAGGGAATTTATATCTGTCATATGAATTTTGGGTACTGAATTTATTGTATTAAATGGGGATGTGGGTTGAGAATGCACTTAGAAACATGGTACTATACATATAGGACCTAATTATATTTAAATACATAAACGTTATTATGCACAGATGTAAACAAATTGGGAACAATAATGTCTAGCTAGACGCATATATGGTTATTTAAATTTTTTCTTTTTTTTTTCTTTTTTTTCTCTCTCTTCTCTCTCTCTTCTTCCATCTCGAAGAGAGACGAGAGATAGAGATGAGTATATAACTTACATAAGGTAATGCTACAACTCTATAATTTAATCTATGAAGGGCATGCTAAATTCCATAAAGATTTTCCCGCTGCTCTTATATTGAGGGAGTTAATATTATAAGGTATGGGGAATGAATGTACATTTTTTTTTTTTTAAAAGGAAAAAGGGGAAAGAAAGAAAAGCAAAAAAAGGGGAGAGAGGGGTAAGGAAAAGAGGGGAAAAATAAAAAAAGGCTTCCCTCCAACCGTTGAGGCGGTTGTTTACAGTTGACTTACACGTATTTAGGGTAATGATCAACAATGGGGAGGGTTCGGCTCTCTTTGGGCAAGGGAGATTTTGGAGGGTTAATGTTGCTTGTACGTGCTTTTGTTGTGTTATTTTTTTATGTAATGGTCATATTTGGTTATAGATATCTTGCTGGTGTTAATGGAGGTTGTCTAAAAGCAGATTAGGAAGCTTAATGTTAAAATTAGCTTCCCTAAATGTGAGGGGCTTAAACTCACCGCAGAAACAAAATATCTTCCTTAGATTTTTAAAAGAGGAGGCAATTTCGATCTGTGGAGTCCAAGAAATACACTGGGAGTGGACGGATATACAACGCTTAAAATCTAAAGACTATCCCCATATATTTTCTTCATCTATGTATAAAAAAAAAAAAAGAGGAGTAGCCACACTCGTTTCAACAAGAGTTGCTTTTAAATTTATCCATCAGGTAGAAGATATAGAAGGAAGGTTCCATATGCTAATTTGTGAAATTAACAATCACATTTTTACGATTGTTAATATTTATGCTACAAATCAAGCCTCTGTAAAATTCATTCGAAAAATATTTAACAGAGTCAACACAATAAGCCAAAGGAGGATAATATATTTAGGGGACTTTAATTGTATTCTAAACCCGGACTAAGACAGGAAGGGCCTAATTAGAGACCAATGTAATAGACATTTAAAAAAACTCAGCTAGGTCATTTAGCGAAATCTTAAAAAAGAGAGGTCTTTTAGACCTTTGGCGTATCCTTAATCCTATGGTATATGATTTTACATGTTTCTCATACGCACATCAGGTATACTCTAGAATTGATTTAATAATAATCTCAGACACATAGATAAAAATATGGCATGGACAGACCACAACACAGTAATAATGGTTATTAAGGAAGATATGAACAGTAATAGGTCTAATGGGAGGTTGAATGAGCGTCTTTTAAATAACACTCTATATTTAAATCAAATTAAAACAATGACAGACTTTTTTTTTTAGGGAAATTGTAAGGATGATGTGCCCCTACCACTTATATGGTGCGCCTATAAGTGTACAATATGAGTTGGGGTACCAGGAGAAGCAGGAGAGCTCAAAAAATATAGTGCAATTATATATAGAATTGGACAAACTCGAACTTGCTAATAAAAATAAACTCAGTATAGAACTTAGTTACTACTTGAAAATCATTAAAGATAAAATAAATGACCTTCTGATACAGAAGGCAAATTTCTCCCTAGACAAACTAAGAAGAACGTGGTACTATAAAGGCAATAGGGCAGATAAACTACTATCAAACAGATTAAAAAAAGAAACAGTTAAGATGAGGGTAACTAAGATCATCGAAGATGATGTGACCCTCCTGGATCCAACCAAGATAGGTCAAGCATTCCAAGAGTTCTATTATAATTTATATAATTTACCAGATAGACAAGCACCAGTAGATTTAATAAAATATTTAGAAGAATTAAAATTACCAAAAATATCGAACTCCCAACTTTGGAAATTGAATGAGCCCATAGCGATGGAGGAGGTTGCTGGAGCTATCAATAAACTAAAATCACATAAATCCCCAGGCCGTTATGGCTTCAGCAACATCTTCTATAAATTACGAAAAGAAAACTTAGTACCCAATTTGACTGATATCTTTAATGACTTCCTGATAAAAGGTAAGATACCTGATGAGATGTTAAAGGTGCATATAGTTCCAATTCTCAAACAGCAAAAATCCTATATCGCTATTAAATGGAGATATAAAACTTTATTCTTCCATAATTGCGGATAGACTAAGCAAGATTGTAACAGACATAATTCATAGAGACCAAGCGTTTTGGATTAACGGACAATATAGGTAGTGCAATAATGGCGTTCTAAACGACTCCCACAGCGAGGGTTAAGGGTGCTGGTTTTAACTCAGACTATTTTTTACCGAAGAACGGGACAAGACAGGGGTGTCCCCTGTCCCCGCTCCTCTACTTAATGGTAATTGAAGCCCTAGCAGTGGCAATAAGGAGAAATGAGGCAATAAAGGGCCTGAATGTGAAAGATGACAGCATTAAATTGACGAAATATGCGGATGATGTCATACTGCCTTTAGCTGATCAGCAAAATTCGTCTAAGGCCCTTTCAAAGTGTATGGAAGAATATTCACTATATTCAGGGTACAAACTAAACATTAATAAATCAACTGCTTTACCTATTAATATTACCCGGGCTAATATTGAACTCTTGAAAAATCATTTTGAATTTAGATGGGCAGATCCATCAATTAATTATTTAGAGATTGAAATTGCGAATGAAGTGAACAGAATAATGGAACTTAATTTTTTACCACTTCTTAAATATACAGCAAGAAAATTAAAAGAAAGGAGACATTTAGAAATCTCTTGGTGGGGGCGTATCAATGTAATCAGGTCTTATATAATACCAAAATGGGTTTATCTATTCAGAATGGTCCCACTACCTTGTCCAGATAGTTGGGTGACATTAGCGCAATCACTTATAAACAAATATATATGGTTAAGTAAAACCCCAAAAATAAACTGGAAATGTTTATCCCTAAAAGTGAAATTAGGAGGATTGGGGGTTCCCATTTTAAGAGATTACCAAATAGCCTCTAGTTTTTCACATGCGGTTATCACTCAACTAAGTGAAGTTAGAAATGAAATTTGGTATGAAATAGAACAGGACCTAACCCAAATTGAAGGCTCTTTCTCAGATTTGGGTCGACTATTCTGTATGGTTAAGCCAAGATATGATAGTCCACCTATATTTACTTCTCATAGTGTTGTTTTGAATAGTGCCTTAAGGGTATGGGAGAAGATTAGGAAATTAATCAAATTACATAAGTTAATAACTTTTTTACCGATATCAAATTTGTTGTACTACATGCCTAATTTAAAATTGGACAAATGGACAGAAAATGATGTATCTAGAATAGACGATTTACTAGACAATAACTCCTGGATGGATTTTCAATCTCTAAGCCTTAAATATAGAATAGGGAGTAAAGCGGTTTTTAATTATTTAAGGCTAAAAGTTTTTGCCAGGAGTATGTTGTTAGAGAAAAATCTAATCAAATAACTTGGTTGGAGAAAATACTTAGCAAAGAGTCGCCAAACAACCTAATAGCTACAGGTACACGACTTCTATCAAAAGACCCAGATAAACCTCTGGAAACTATAATTAATAAATGGCAGAGGGATCTTGGAATTCAAATTAGTCACAAGCAATGGAGAGATGCCTTAATCTTAGTACATAAAAATATACACTGTCTTAACTTGGTAGAGTGCCAGTTTAAAATCATAAATAGATGGTATATGGTACCTAGCAGAATAAGTAAATTCTCTAATACGTATGATTCTAATTGTTGGAGATGTAACTTAAAATGTAGGAATTATCTACATATATGGTGGGACTGCGGGCCTATCCAACTATTTGGGAAAATTATATTATTTAAGATAAAAACTTTGACTTCGGTAGAATTAACTTAGTCACCACAGATATGTCTACTACAATTAGATATTAGGCAAGTAGGCAACAAAGTAACCCCCTTTATAATTCACATTTTGATGGCTGCAAAAATGATTATTGCAAGGTATTGGAAGCTGACTCTGGTTCCAACGTGGCCAGTAGTTAAGGAACAACTACAATTCCAATTAAAAATGAAAAGTGGCCTGATTAGAGGTCAACAGGATAGATACAATTCATGGCTCTCCACCCTTCTCTAGAGGCTAGTTAATAAGAGTGGGTTTTCATCTAATGCAAGTAATTGATTAAACAACACCCCTCATAAATAATAAATAATAAAACTTATAAAATGAATCCCTTCAGAGCTCCAGGAAGATTTAGGCCATTTTCTTCTACTCGTATCTGTAATATGACCATGGGTTTGTTGTTTTATGTTATTATATTTTTTGTTCTGTTCTAGATGAGTCTAGGGTCAATAACAGGACGGTCACACAGGAAGATGCTATGTCTAGTTATACTATGCCAATAGTGATGTCCTCAACGGTCCGTTGAACGGTTCGCCACGGACGGCGAACATAAACATAAACTTTGACCCTGTACCTCACAGTGAGCAGACACATTCCAGCCAATCAGCAGAAGACCCTCCCTCCCAGACCCTCCCACCTCCTGGACAGCATCCATTTTACATTCATTGGGAAGCTGCATTCTTAGTGAGCTGTCCAGGAGGTGGGAGGGTCTGGGAGGGAGGGTCTGCTGCTGATTGGCTGGAATGTGTCTGCTGACTGTGAGGTACAGGGTCAAAGTTTATGTTTATGTTCGCCGTCTGTGGCGAACCGTTCGGGACATCATTATATGTCAATCTTGATGTTTAAAGATGAGTATAAACGATTGTGTGAAATTTCCTTGTTAGAACAAATCTGGAACACTGTATTATGTTAAATGTATGTATTGTGAGAAAAAAAATTCTAATAAAGAATATAAATTAAAAAAAAGAATGAGTAAGCTGAGGGACCTGAACATTGGTCCATAATAAGGGACAAGCCCCTGGGTACCCAGGGATGTGAATTTATGAATGATACAAAAGCAAAGTGAGGCCTTAATGAGAACGTAATTGTAATGAGAAAGATAACATGCCTGATACTGAATGCCGGAGACCGGGTAGCCAGTTGGTTGTTGATAACGTAGTGAAACTGCGTAAAATGGCGTAAGTCTAAGTAATATTATGTAGAAACAATAAAAAGGAAAAGATACGTTAATACGATAGTAGCTCGGTTGAGCAGGTTTATGAGAGTAGTTGGTGTCTAGGTGGCATTTTTAAACCTGGTGTGTATAAACGTTTAGAACCCACTTTGGGAGGTGGGGGTGATGGTTATGCAAGGTCGTGGAGGCTGAATGAGGCCACAGGAGAAACGTAAAATTGGTAAAACCTTGATACCGTGAAACTGGAACCTGGAAATCACTTCTTGAAGATTTTCCTTGAAGAAGAGTAGATGAACCTAAAACATATGTATTCTAAGAATGATGACCCAGAAATAGTATATTTAAGGAACAGATTAGTCGTATGTGTTACTGGTCTGAAATGAGCTTAGGAAACGGGGGGGGGGAGAATTTACTGCTGAGTGACCCAGTGAAATAAAAAGGGGTTAAAAGGCCAACTGTTCCTTTAAGAGGGTTACCCTTGTGTGGAAACTGCAGAGTGCTGTGAATTAGTTCATAATTAAATGTAACGGTGGGTCTGTAAATGGTGCTACACGGCCTTTGATATATGCAGGGGGTAAAAACAGAGTGTCACGGCAAGGGTGTATAATTTATTATTACGCTATGGAATATCATCCTTTAATGTAATTTGTGTAGTAAATATCACAAATTACAGAGATGCTATTGCTGAGGTCAACAGGGGTTACATCTTTTGAAGCTGGGACCCCCACAGAGGTCAGATGACAGAAGGGGTAGTATGAATGGAATAGGAATGTGAAAAGGATTTTACTATATGGATGTGAAGTAATCAAGGCTTTGCAAGGTGTGAGGTTCTACACTTGGAAAAAGTCTGAATGTCTCTTCATCCATTTGGCATGTACCTTGTAAAGGAATCCTTTGATGGTAATGGGATTAGTTTCATGAAGATCCTTGTGTTCCAGTATTTTATCCAAGTGAAACATTAATCCTTACCCACAGGTTAATAATTAAGCCTCATTTTTATTATATTTGGAATGAGACAAGCCCAATCTCTTAATTGAGCCTAAACATGAGTTGCACAACTTAAACCGTATGGCAGGACTTGTGATGTCCGTCTTATTGGATCGTGGGCGGGGCGTACAACATGTCTATGGAATGGGAAAACAATAACAAATTCATAGAGGCAATTATTATTTCTGTGGTAAGTACAGTAGAGGAGATAAAACCAAAAGTTTGTATGTGGCTTGTTGTTTTCTGGAACAAAGGAGGTGGTCACTTAGTATCCCTATTGCTCCTCCACTGGGTGAGGCGTGGCAATTCACAGGGTATATCTCCTGTGATCCTGAAGGGTGTTTGTGTACTTGCTTGGGGCCAAGATCTAATTTTGAGTGAGTCATCATCTTTCCTTGCCAGAGACCCCCTGGACAGAAGTTGTACTTTGAAAACCTAAGTGAGTAATTAGGACTTCTGGATTTTATCCTTTTTGTTTTTATCTCTTGTTGGTGTAAATAATTTGTTTATCATATATTGTTATATGCACTGTGACTATCTTTTGCTCATAATAAACATTCATTCCTGGCTAATCATGGCAGCATCACTTATGGTAGCTCCTCCCTTAGTAGTCACAGGACAGGAATTAATTAGATTAATTAATCAGACTGATAGGTATAAAGAGTCCCTCCTCCCCTTACACCTCAATCCAGTCTTTTTTCCTGTCCTTAGCAGGTTCTACAGGACTTTTTTACAATTTTGTTTTATGGCTCACCTTCCTGCGTTTGTCGTGGGTTCGTTCCAAATGAAGTTCAGCCTCTCTTCATTTGAAGGACCCAGTAAACAGCCTGCATGAGCAGGACTAACTGGGTCAGGTTCAGTGTAAGTACTGAACTGCACCGTGGGGAAGTAAGTGTTTGAGGGAGACACTAATGCTTCTGGTTTATGGTGGGGTTGGTTATGCCTTAAAAATTCCCCTGTTACTACCTGCCCCTACTAATTGGGGTTATATACCCCCCCTCATACCTTGTGGGCAGTTTTTTGGGGAATCCATGATGAGAGGGTCTCTCCCTTCCTCTGTTGCTCCTTCTTGCCCCTTTTCCGGTTCTCTGGCTTGGGGGGACATGCCCCAGGGTTCCCTGCCCCTTGGGCCCCCCTCTGGGGCTTGGGGTTTGGGGGCTGGAACGCATTTGCGTTCCAGCCGGCTGTTTTGCGGCCAGTTCCGGCGAAACCGGATGAAGTGGGCCCAGTGGAAGTTCCGTCCGGTTCAGAACTGCTTCCTTCTCCAGTTCAACAGAGTGGAAGCAAATTGGGAACAGGTGATATCTCTTCCCCTTCCGGTAAGAAAAACCTTAAACTGGTGGAGGAGCGAGAAGAATTTGACGACTGGCTTCCCGTTGGAAGACCCCCCTTGGAAGGTTATTACGACAGATGCCAGTTCTTTTGGATGGGGTGCCCACTTCAGTTCGGTATGGACTCAAGGGAAGTGGACCCGAGAAGAGAGTCGCCTACACTCAAATTTAAGGGAACTAAGAGCGGTTTACAAGGCCGTTTTGAGGTTCCTACCAAGGCTAAAGAACTCGTGGGTCCTAATCAAAACAGACAACCGAGCGGTGGCCTTGTATGTGAACAACCAAGGTGGCACGAGGAGCAGATTGCTGCTGGAAGAACTCGCTCCCTTAATGGTTATAGCCATGACGTTTCTTCAAGGTCTAAAGGCCTTTTATCTCCCAGGCTCGGAGAACGTAACAGCAGACTTCCTCAGCAGAAGGGAAATTCTTCCGGGAGAATGGCATCTTCACCCGGCGATCTTTGCAGAAATTGTTCATCGGTGGGGCATGCCCCAGATCGACCTGATGGCATCATCTCAGAATCACCAGGTGGAGAATTACTTCTCTCTCCACCCGGACCGTCAGGCACTGGGCCAAGATGCTCTCTCTCTCCCTTGGTCGTTCGATCTGGGGTATGCTTTCCCTCCCCTACCTATGATACCCAGGTTCCTGAGGAAGGTTTGGTCGGAAGGCAGGAAAGTCATTGCCGTAATTCCAATTTGGCCTCGTAGACCGTGGTTCCCCCTATTGACCACGATGAGCCAGGAACAGCCTTGGCCTCTGCCAGTGATGGAGGATCTGCTTACACAGGGCCCGGTATTCCATCCTCATCCAGAACGCCTCAAACTGGGGGTATGGATCTTGAGAAGGAAAGACTCCAAGTTCTAGGTCTCTCGGAGGCTGTGATCAATACCCTTCTGCTCTCTAGAAAGGCTTCCACTTCCTCATGCTACCATAGGGTCTGGGATGTGTTCCAGTCTTGGGCATCGTCCAATAATGTGGACTTTCTACATCCTAGCAATACTGAAGTTTTGGAGTTTCTGCAAGAGGGCCTGGACAAGGGCCTTAGCCTCAGTACCTTAAAGGTTCAGTCTTCGGCACTCTCAGCTTTGTGCAACATCTCTTGGGCTTCGGATCCTTTGATTTCCAGGTTCTTCAAAGTGGCCTTCAGGTTGAGGCCTCCTTCCAGGTCTACTACCCCTCCTTGGGACCTTCCTATGGTGCTAAATTATCTCACGGAGGATCTGTTTGTTCCTCTTGAAGGTTTGGATGCTACTCTCCTGACGTATAAGACTTTGTTTCTGGTGGCGATTACTTCCGCAAGACGGATTTCAGAAATTAAGGCGTTTTCTACATCTTCTTCTTGTTTACAATTCTACCAAGATAGGGTATGTCTGAAACCAAAGCCAGAGTTTCTTCCTAAGGTGGTTTCTCAGTTTCATCTCTCTCAAGAAGTGGTTCTTCCATCATTTTACCCCAACCCCTCTTCTCAGGAAGAGGTTAGATGGCAACGTTTGGATGTCATGAGCTGCTTGTCTGCGTATCTTAGACGTTCTGAGTCTTTCCGTAAGACGGACCAACTCTTCGTTTTGCCGTTAGGAGCTAGGAGAGGTGAGGCGGCCTCTTTGTCTACGTTGAAACGTTGGATTTCTCTGATAATTAAGAAGGCGTATGTCTCTAAAGGTCTATCACCTCCACAGGTGATAAAAACACATTCTACTAGAGCATTATCAACTTCTTGGGCTAGCTGGGCAGAGGTTCCATACGATGATATTTGCAGAGCAGCCACTTGGTCTTCTCCGATGACGTTTATGAAGCACTACAAACTTGATGTGGAGTCTCGTTCCACCGCCTTTGGGAAGAGTGTCCTCTCTACGGCATGATTAGCCAGGAATAGAGAAAATTTATGACAAACTTACCGTAATTTTCTTTTCCTGGCTATTTCTCATGGCAGCATCAGGGTTCCCGCCCATTCTCTATTTCAGCTTTATAATTGGACTGAGGTGTAAGGGGAGGAGGGACTCTTTATACCTATCAGTCTGATTAATTAATCTAATTAATTCCTGTCCTGTGACTACTAAGGGAGGAGCTACCATAAGTGATGCTGCCATGAGAAATAGCCAGGAAAAGAAAATTACGGTAAGTTTGTCATAAATTTTCTCTATTTATTAAGTTCTGCCTTTGTCTGGTTAAGAATCACGTTACCTGAAGAGACTAGTTAGTATTTTTGTAATTCCTTAAATATTGTGCTAAGTAATATTTGCTGGGTTTTATTATTGATTTA